TGGGGTTCTGTTTTGCCAGTACCTTCTCAGAAGCAGTGTAGAACCTACCTCAGAACTATTCTCCAGATATATGAAAATGGAGAGTACCAGTCCACTAGCTCCCACACCTCACTAGTCGAAGCAAACAACTACTGGGCACTTGAAGATTGCATCCACTGAAGTGAAGAGTGGCTCACCCAGCAGACCTCTGTGGGTCAGAGGCACCCTAGGGCATAATGAGAGACTGTTTGAATACACCTGCGAGAATCTGGTTGCCACAGCAATGAATGGCTATGTTAAATGGTGAGGTGAGAGTATACCAGGTGTCTACGGCATAGGGAGAAGAAAAGAATTTTTAAAACAGTATTTCTAGCAATAAGATGTAAACAAGAATGGGTTGCTATTTTTTAAAGGAATAGAAAACAAAAAGGGGACCTTTGGAAATAAAGAGAGCAGAGAAAAACTCAAGATTTAAAAAATATATATGTTTATTCGTTTTCCCATCATTTACATATTGACTGCCAGTGCTTCAAGAGTTAAGGCATGATAAGATTATGGACATGTGTGTCCCCTGAAAATTGTCATAGAATCCATTGGCAAAAGCTTCAGTGAATGGGGATCTCCACCTTTGGACAGTTACATGTTCTGGAATGTCCAGAGTCCAGTGGTCTTTTTTTTTAATTTTAAAGATTTTATTTATTTATGCATACAGAACTGGAGTACAGGTCAGAGGTGCAGGGGTGGTGAGAGGATTCACCAGAGACAGGCTGGTGGACAGAGCAGGCCGACTGACAAAGTACACTGCTGAGGGGTGCACTGGGCGGGTCAGGAGAGGTCTGCCGCGCCATGTGGGTCACCTCTGGGGCGGGGATCAAACTCATGCTGAAGTGGCTTTAGCTTCTTAGTGCTGTGCTCTAAACCGCTGCACCACCAGGGAGGGCCCCCAGTGGTGTTTTACTAAAAGACTTCTCAAAACAGGACCCCTGGGATCTCCCTTGTGGCACAATGGGTTAAAGCACAGCATTATGAAGCTCTAGAAGCCACTGCAGCACAAGTTCAATCCCCAGCCAGGGAGGTGACCCACATGGCGTGGCAGACCTCTCCTGACCCGCCCTCTGCTCCCCTCAGCAGTGTACTTTGTCAGTCGGCCTGCTCTGTCCCCCAGCCTGTCTCTAGTGAATCCTTACTGCCCCGGCGCCTCTGGCCTGCACCTCAGTTATGTAAACATAAATAAATCTTTTTTTTTTTTAAAAGGGACCCCATAAAGTATGGCTGCAGTGTCCCAATGAATAATCTAGTGCCACTCACCCCACCCTTCTCCAAGAAGCAACAATCAATTCTGGAGCTAAGGAGGACCATGGCCTTGAGGGGTACAGCTATGAGGGATCACCATAGCATGCACTGCAGGTAGATCTAGGGGTCTTGCCTATGAGAAGTCTGTTTTTCGGTGGGAGAAAAAGCAATGTTGGCAAGAGGAGGTATAAAAGAATGGCCCTTAGTATGCCTGAGTACACACTTGGTTTACCTCCTAGACTTTTGCAGGCTTCACCTTTCTTTCTCCAGAGTGAAATGACAGCTGCCTCCTGATAAGGATTGATCGTGATGACGAATGCATGCTATGAACTTAGCCATAGCCGCCAAATTGTCCTAAAACCACTGTTTCACAAAGGATCCAGATTTCTGTCATGATTAAAAAATGTGAGCTCGGGCCCTCCCTGGTGGTGCAGCAGGTTAAAGCACAGCACTGAGAAGCTAAAGCCACTTCAGCATGAGTTCCAGCCCCCACCCCAGAGTTGATCCACATGGCCTGGCAGACCTCTCCTGACCTGCCCACTGCTCCACTCAGCAGTGTACTTCTGAACCCCAGTTCTGTATGCATAAATAAATAAATCTTTTCTAAAAATGTGAGCTCTTGCCTGAGTACCTAAGATTGAATCTTGGCTTTGCCATTAGCTGGGAACTTGGTCAGGTCACTTTACTTTTCTATGCCTTCAAATCTTCCTCTGCACTATTGCGGATAACAGCAACTACAAAGAATTCTTTTGGAGATTCAATGAACTCCCATATATAAAGCACCCTGCTACACATATAGCAAATGTTCATAAATATTAGTGATTATTTAATTCTCCTACAGCATCTCATAGTTCAAATGCCTATTGTTTTAAAGCATTTTTGGAGCAAGTGCAATGACAACTATTAATTCACTTATACATTTCCTGAACATGCTTACTTGCCCATACTTCACCTACTGGTTTTCCAATGACATGAGACCAGCCGTTGTCACACTGGTTTAGCTCCTAAACTTTATGGTTCTGCCTTCATTTGCCAAAACTAATTTGCTGTTCCCAGCTCTGCTACTCTCCCACTCAGTAAGACCTGCTCCTACACACAGACTCTGCGCTGCTTTAAGATTTCAGAGAATAAGCCCTCCCTGGTGGCTCAGCGGGTTAAGGTGCAGCACTGCAAGCTAGCAGCAGCAGCTTCAGTGAGAGTTCGATCCCTGGCCCTGGAGGTGACCCACAAAGCACGGCAGACCTCTCCTGTCCCGCTCACTGCTCCCCTCAGCAATGTACTTCATCAGTCTGCCTGTTCTGCCCCCCTACTCTGTCTCTGGTGAATCCTCTCACTACCCCTGCACCTCATTTAAAAAAAAAAAGATTTCATATAGTAAAATTAGACTAGTCCATTAAAGATGGTTCACAGCTGGAAGGGGGCCCTTTTCCTACCCCACCACCATATTTCACAATTTCTTCTTCTGTATATGTAGACTGTTGTGGGTCAGAAAGGCCAACACTCATAGGAGGTTCTGACAGTTCACCTGCATAACATATCACTAGCATCTCTTCTCCTTGAGTAAGGGCAACAGGTTTTTCAGGTCCGAAGCTGTCCCACACCCTTTGCCCTAAACTCCTTACATTCCCAGGATATTAAGTCACTGGGACTGGGAGGATGCCTGGGAAAAAGTACGCCTCGCCTGGTAAGGGCCAAGGAGCACTTTTCTGCCCTGTGTATCCTCCACTCTGATTGGCCTGCCTGGCTCAGTTTGTGTCTTTAACTATGTTCCCATAGCACCCGCCCCTGGAGTAGCTGATTCACATGGTTTTAATGGACCAAATTATAGATCCACGCTGCTCCTACTCTTAATGAGGGCATATTAACCACTGGGGAGAAATTCCTGATTGAATTCCAAAGAGGCAGTATGTTCTTGAAGTTCTGACAGATTATTTCATTCAAATTCATCTTGAATAACACAGCCAGAAGACAGCAGTATAAGCTTTTTATGACAACCACCTAAATCTCTTCTTTATCATGAAAGATGAAATGAAGGAGTTGGGTTCAAAAAAGGAAATCCTACTACTCCTAAACAAGTCACTTCACTCTATCCCAAGCTGAGTGTCCAATTCTTTTAACCCCAAATCATCATGGAAGGTGGGAACACCATCTGAGACATGCCAGGAGGTAGAACTCTTCTAGCGCACAGTCCTGCCACTTAAGAGAGGAAAGAGGCAGCCCTCCCTGGTGGCGCAGCGGGTTAAAGCACTGCACTAAGTAGCTTAAGCCACTTCCGCATAAGTTCGATTCCTGCCCACCCCGAGGAGACCACACGGTGTGGCAGACCTCTCCTGACCCGCCCGCTGCTCCCCTCAGGAGGGGTATGGCTGCATGTGATTCTTCACATGATCCCAGCAGTAAAATTAGCTGAGCATGAGAAGCCTTAGGTTAGATTGTTTACAATTCCTCAACTAGTACATGTGACTAGCGGTTCTTCTCACTTTTTTTTGGTATGTGAAGGGGTGGCATTACTTAGGTAAATGCTGAATACTCAGTCCTCATAAGCAGTGGCCAGAGTCATCTTGGTTCCCTGGTTACCTTAGAGACATCCAACTGGCTTCTCACCAAACTTTTCAACTGATATGAGATGTAAGCACTGAACTCCATGAGAAAGGGAGACCTGACCTCATCCACTGTGGCGTGGAACTGACCAGAGGGTGGGTAAACATATGTCCTAATTAGAAAATAAAACCTTGGACAGAAACCAGTATCAACGATGATATCATGTGATCCAGTTTTCTTCTTCTGCCTTACCTTGGGGAGTTAGACAGTCATTCCAACCCAGAACAGCAGGAAGCTGATGTCCCAACTATTATTGCCTCCTCTCTCCCATAAAGAAAATAAATCAATCAATCAACAAAATACACAAGAGAGTAGCAGACACAAAGCAGTCTTCATTTCTTCCACACATTAGAAACATTTTCAATTACAATTCAGCTTCTCTGAGGTGAACATCAAGTAGTAAAATGTCAACAGCACAGAAAAGCCACAGCCAGGAATCTCTGATAATGAGGCATGAAGTGAGAGATTCTACTCAACTGCCTCCACCCAACCAATGGGGGGTGGATGCAGGTCCCTGAGAAAATCCGTCCTTCTGACTTATGTCTTGAAGGAATCCTTCTCTGCACATTCTCCACAGCGTGCCTATGAAGGGTTGTTGAAAAGAGAGGCCTTGAGGAATGATCACTAGTAAAATCCTAGATGAGAGCACACTCAGTTGAAGAGTTGCTCTATAATGGTGACCCCACGTATACATTAGTAAGGCTGTGTTCTGTGTATCACACCTAGGTAGCAAGCAATCACATCCCCTGAACAGTCAGGATATACACTGGTGGGATTCAGGGTCATCAGCATGGCCCTGGGAAAGTTCAGTAATGCTTCAACCAAATGAGAATTAGAAGATCCCAGGTTGCAGAAGGTAAGTTATCCCAAAGGGCCGCCAGACACCTGATCTGGATGAGAGGAGTGTGAACCCAATCCTGACCCTTCTGGACATTAAGTGATCACCCTGGATTCAAAACAGAGCAGTCAATCTTGAGGGAATAAAAAACTATCTGGAGGGGCTGTTCTTTCTACGGGTAAGCTTACCAGAAATCTAAAGTAAACATCCTGCTGGAGTCTCACCTAGGATCTTCACCACCCCTTCAATTTCACAACCCCCAATCCATCCTTAAATACCCAAAATATAATCAGAGAATGCTTTGCCTTGACTCGGTTTCAGAGGGTGGCGGGGCATTTTCAGCCCTGCCTTGGGGGCGCTGGTGGCAGCAGACACATTGGAGGTAATCCACTACATTGTGGGTGAAGAGTGAGCGCAATGGATGCAAGTACTGGAAGAAAAGGAGCATGAAGCCGATGGAAATCAGATAAGCAATAATGAGCTGCACAGCAATCAAGGAATGACAGTAATTCAGCAATACTTTCACTCCAAGGAACTTAAAAACCAAGACCATGATCACATTCTCAACCAGCCTCACACTATAGTGCAGGCCCATGTGTCCCCAGTTCTGACCTTTGTCAACAAGGTCCCTGTCTGCCAACTTCAACTGCAAGGCTGACCAACAAGAGAAGTTGATGCCAGCATAGAGAACAGTAATAGAAATCAATACCACCATGGTGCCAACCCGGCTGAAGTTTTTTTCAATGTTATTAGGCATCTGGGCACCACTCCTCCAGAACTTAACCCAAGGCTCAAAGAAGATGATGATAAAGTTGAGCAATAAGAAGGGCACAGCCTTCAGTTTCAAGGTGGCGGAGAAGAGCACCAGAATCATGAGGCGGGAAGTGATCTCCAACGTCCGCCAGATGGTGATGCACAGGACTTCTAGTGGCCCAAGGCGAATCTTGTATTCATCATACTTGATCTGGATGGCCAACATATTGCAGAGGGTAGCCCCATAAGTAACTGATATCAGGGAAAAGACCATTAGCACAACTGGAAGAAAAAAAGAAGAAATAGGTCATCAGTTGGTGTCAGTGGCCACAACTTATGCTCTGAGCTACAGGACCAAAGAGCTAACAGTGGAGACTTGAGGGCCTCAGTTAAGAGCACACTCACGTGAAATCACAGCTATGCGAACAAGGAGCATGTACAGAGAGAAAATGGGAAGGAATAAGAAAAATATATATATATTTGCTGATAAGAATTATACCTGTTTCTAGACCTTTTTTCTGTTTCTCTGTTTTCTAAGTTATCATTATAGTGTGATGATTAATATATACTATAGTCTTTCAATAGTTATAGGAATTTACAAAGTTAACTTTTTAAAAAAGAGTAGGTCTCAGAAGTATTCATAGCATTAGATCATGAACTTGAGAAGAACATATACTAAGGGAAAGAGTAGCACCTTACGATACAGGCTCCTGAGTAAATATTGAAGGAGGCAAGACAGAACCCCATTCGAACTAATCCAGCCTTAGGAGACTCAGAATGCCTTTGGTCACAGACCTCCCCATGAACACTCAAAAGGCACAAAGAAACACACCCCAAAGGAACAAACTCCCAGCTTTGTTTGCAAGATGTTTTTCAGCTCTGTTAGAGTATTGAAATCTCAAAGGTGGGGACCTGTTTAAAGTGGCTACTCTTGGTTTTATGTTTATTTACTATTGATATATAATTGACACAAAACTTTATATTATTTAAAGTTGTACAGTACAATGATTTCACATATTCTTAGCCTATAGACCACTCAATCCCATCCTCAAGAGTTAATGTTCCTTGTAGATTGGGAACAGAGAGCGTAAGCAAGTCTGACCAAGTGTGGTGATGCTTTCCCAAAATTAGAATTCATTTATTGATAGTGATGTAATAAAAGGAAAAAAGCCCGACGCTTCCAATAAATGTAGGAACACCTTCCATCTGTCTCCCTAAAAATAGACTCATGCCATAGAGATCATAACACTTTTAATAAATGTGATCACCCATGCTGATTTGAATGGCCTCAGAGAGAAAAAGGGACCCAGAAAGGGGAAAGACAGGAGGAACACTAAACCAAAGAGTTTTTCACAAAACCTTGAAAGAGATGGAATCATCAGACAGTTTTCAATGGAGAAATCAGAAATCAATTGAAAACAAGGCCTTCCCTGACAGCCTTTGTAAATGCAATATAGTAGAACACAGGCTCTGAAGGCAGACATCCTGGGTTCCAATCCATTCTTTGTCACCCACCACTTATGGAAACTTGGGGGAAGCTTGTAGCTTAACCTCTCAAAGCTGTTTCCTCACTTGTAAGATGGGAATAATAACAATAATTATCTCATAGGGTTGTTGTGAAGATTAAATGAAAATAATTACATGTAAAGGACTTAGAGAAATCTCTAAATGCTACCTGCTAGCTGTTTTCAACATCATCATCACCACTACCACCGCCATCATTTCCTATTTCCAAAAGTAGGTGCATTTACTTCATTTGGGAACTACTCTGGCACTTAACCTAAACCTTGCAAAGATATACAAGAAAACCAACTGAAGTCTCTCTGAAAATAATGACTAGTAGTTAAGTGGTGATGTTTCATGTATAAAACTCATGGAGTTTCCCCCAAATCATCAAGTTGTCTATATTAAATAGTTACAGGGCCTCCCTGGTGGCACCAGAGGTTAAGTCTCAGCATATTAAATTGTAGCAAGCTATCACCAGCCACTGTGGCATGGGTTCAATCCCCTGCCTGGGAGATGACCTGTGGGATGGCAGAATTCTCCTGTCTCCCCTGCTGCTCCCTTTAGCAGTGTGTTTCAGTCAATCCACCTGTTCTGCTCCCCACACTGCCTCCCAACCCCTACACACCTGGCCTGTACCCAAGTTCTTGTATATTTTGCTTGTCAATCGTATCGTAATAAATTTGGCTAAAAATATATTATGAATTGGAAAGAAATAGTATCTTCTAATATCAATTGATTGATTCCATCTAGATGCAAATTCCCTCCAAAATAACCTAGTAATTTAATGCATTATCCGTCAAAATATCAATGAAATGTTCTTTTCTTTTTGTACTGTTTTGTCTTGATGGGAGAATTGAGAAGTTGGTCGTGGAAATTTATCTATTTGAAAGACCAGGCTAAATTGCTCTACCACATACGAGTTGTGAAGGAACTGGGTAAGAAAGGCACAAGATCTAAGAACAGTAAAGAATTTAAATACAATTTAATATGCCAGGATATTTTGTGCATATTACACGTAACATGTTGCACATGTATATCCAACATGTAGTGTATGCATGGCACACATGTAGTGTGTATGTACACACATACAAAATTATATACACACACACATATATACATACACACTAAATCCACAACAAAGGATTAATAGCAATATTAAGTAAATAGCTCCTACAAATTAATAAGAAAAATACAAACACCCACTAGAAAAATATGGGTAAAAGAGGCTCCTTGGTGGCCTAGCAGTTAAGTCTCAGCGCTTTCAGCCCTACTGCCTGAGTTCCATACAGCCAGGGAGGTAAACCACAGGGTGCAACAGACCTCTCCTGTCTCGCCTGCTATTCCCTTTAGCTATGTTCTGCTCCCCAATCTGTCTCTGGTGAATCCTCTCACCCCCTGCACTTCTGGCCTATACTACAGTTTTTCTGTATAAAAATAAATATTTTTAATGGGTAAAATATATAAATATATATGAGATTTAAAGAATGCACACAATGACCAAACATGAAAAGGTGCTGTTTCACTTACACTGAAAGAAAGCAAATTATAAAAATAATCAGATATTTTATAATTGCACAACTAAATAATATTTAGTTTATGATATATGACGATAAAGGCACATTCACTCATTGTTGATGGGAATATAAACTCATACAAACTTTTTGGGAGGGTTTATTGCTAACAATGATAAATTTCTAGATCTGCATACCCTTCACTTCAGCAATTCCACTGCTATGAATTTATCCTACAAAGTCTCATCCAGTGCACAGATACTTATAAAGATGTTCCCTGGAATTTAGTTTTCAATTAGAAAAAAAAATTGCATGGGAAAAAATAGAAACAATCTTTAACCCTAGCAAGAGAAGATTAGGGAAAAAGTGGTCCAATTCATAAAGTCTATTCCATATATATGTGTATATACACACACACAAAATCATTGAAGAAATATATTTTGCCATACTTCGATAAGATTGAAAAGGAGGTTTAACACAGAAATTTTGGGGGCAAATATATGTATGTGTTCTGTATACATATATATGTCATATATGAGTGTGTGTGTGTGTATATATATATATATATTTGTTGTATATATTTTTATATTCCATATAAAAAGAAATCTGGAAGGCTACCTTTGGGGAGTGAGATTATATCTCCTATTTTATACATATTCTGTACAGTTTTGAATCTTAAACATAACCATTTCTGATTTTTATAATAAAAAATGAGAACCAAAAATAGTAGTGCATGGTACTGCTATTTCAAACATTTCAAACCACATAGAAAGATGTAAAGTAAAAAGTAAAAGTCAGTTGACTTCTCATTTCCACTTCCTCTGAGATAAATCATTTCTTGCATATCTTTCAAGAAACTTTCTGGTCAGTCAATCTGCATCATGTACAACTTTTGTAATGTATACATTTTAAAATAGTTTAATGACCCTCAAAATTCTCAGCATCATCAAATCCAGATATATTTTCTGTGTACCTCTACTGGGTCCGAGAACTGGGGCGCGCCTGTGAAGGACAAACCAGAGGAATGACTGCTATGTCCAATATGTAGTGAATCTTTATTTTGTAGCGTGTTCCTTAAATACTCCGTATTATTAAGTTGAAACAATAGCACATTGACTTAATCTATCTAGACAGTCTCAAGCAGTAACAATAGCATATTGACTCATTCTAACTCTGTATCTGTTGTTCTAATTCTGGGTACACCCTGTCCAGCCCCAGATGGCCATGCACTCACACACACCCGGACACTTCTCTTGATAAGCTCTTTGGCTATCTTTCTCAGACCTGGCTTCTTGCTTGCAAGACCTATTTTCTCACATTCTTGGAGCTCAGACCCGGCACTCGAGAGCGTTCCCCCAAGGCGCATGCGCTTCCACAGGCCTTTCGGTATCTAAGTCCAGATGCCAGTCAAGGTTATGCCAGAGCTCTGCCAACATTTTCCTCCTTACATTCCTATCAGTTCTAGGTCTGTAAAAAGCTTCAAGACCAACAGAACTATACAAACAATTCTTAGTGGAGAAAAAGAGAAAGAGAGCAAATTTCTCCCTTACATTTATTCAAGACATAAAGCTTGAGGGACAGGGTCAGCATCTAATAAGAACGAAGTCCAAAGCTCTACCCAGCTGGACCAGCTGCAACCCAAGCATATGAAGTCACTGTCAGGCTGTTAAAACTCATTAACAGCACTTTATCTCAGCTTGAAAAACTGACTTGCTTTTCATCCTCTGCTCCAGTTCTTACTCATATCAGGATACTTCTTTTACAAGAGGGAAATTAAGGCAGTGACCTCTTTGGTAACTTCCTTCAAAGATCACAGAGAAGATCAAAACTGGGGCCAGGCCTGTCTCTCATCAGTATTCATCCCACACCCCCTTTTCTTTCTCCCCATTGGAAATGGAAGAGGTGATTAAATTAGTACTCCCCAAATGTGACTCATCATCGACTGGGGTACGTTCCAAAAATAGAGATCCCTGGCCTCCCCACAGATTGATTCAGGTCTGAAGTGGGAATATAATTTTCAAAAGGAAATTTTACCCAGGAATATGTCTTCTTGTGATCAGTAATATCTGCAAAATTCTCATTTAAAGACAGTGATCCTTAAACGAAAACCAAACAAACAGAACCAAAAATTTGTAGTAGAATTGAAATACTCCGCGCTAGGAAAACTGTCCCACTTGTTGCTGCTATTACTAGTTCTTATGATGCCGAGAGGGTTTAATTGTGACATGTTTATTCTAAATAGCTTTACCTCTGTTTAAGAAATCTGGCAAGCCTATGAGGTGTGGCTCACCAAGTTCTTTATTTCCCAGTGCTGTCCAATAGAATTTTCTGTGTGACAGACATGTTCTGTAAAACCTCTAGCCTCATATGACTACTAAGCACTTGAAATATGGCTAGCATGATTCGGAAAATAAATTTTTATATTTATTTCATTTTAATATAAATAGCCATATGGAGCTTGCAGCCAGTGATTGGACAACTCAAGTCTAGATTTTTTAAGACCATTATTTAAATGAAGCCCTCCCTCTCCTGACCCCACTCACCTCTCCCCAAGGGGACCTCTGCAGAGATCAGGGTCACATAGAGCTGATAGGTCAGCTGAGGCACGGAGCCCAGGAAGGCTTGGATCTGTGACATACGTTTGTAGGCATTGCGGTGCATGGCCAGGGTCCGGATGGAGTGGCCTACCTCCCATTCTATCAGCACCTCCTCGCCATTTATTAGCATCTTCTTTCGGGTGAGGCTGACATAGGGCTCCTCCTGCCCCTCTTTCTTCCATAGTGTGAGGTACTTAATCATGGCCTCCAAACATCTGCAGAAGTAAAGCATCACGGGAACTTAACTAAAGTTGTCCCAGAAAGGGAGGTTGTAATGAAGGGAAAAACAAAACTCAGAGGGTTGTGCTGCCTTTTTCCATAGCTTTCATGTCTCTACCCATTTTACTTGAATCAAAGACGTGGTCATGTCTTCTACTTGATGTCTTCTACTTGAGTCTAAACCCTTTTTTGTTCTGTCGGTCAGTGACCAACCCATAGCACTAGAAGTATTTCTTTGAGGACTTAAGGGATTGCTTTGTCTACTTGAGGACAGGCCTGTGGTAGAAAAGTTAAATATTAATATATTAAATAAGTAATGTGTTGAGAGAGAATGACGGAGTTTCCAAAAAAGGTACTGGTTTACATAACACCTCAACTCTCCGATGTAAAGCATTCCCTGTTCAAAGTGTTCAACTCCATAGTTGGGGCATTTGAGTTCTGCTTCTTCAACACAGAGCCTATAACTATTAAGTTTTTCAGTCAAAAATCCTAAAAGGGATCTAGAAAAACCCTCTGATATATACAGGAAAGACAACAACAAAAGTACTTAAAAGACTTGAGATCTCGGAAGTGAATGAATGTAGGGAACCACAAGATTTGGGGGTATCTTGACCTGTGTGGTGACAACAGCCATTTAAGGTTGATGCCTTCCTCACAAAGAGGAAAACATCCTCACAAGAATATCCTTGAAAAAGTGGTAAGGCCACATTTCCTGCTGTGATCCTCTCCCATCTCCCCCATATAAATTAGAAGTCTTTAGCAGTTCTGATGTGGTAAATAGAAAAGAAACAGCTAGAACATCTTGTTTTGGAACAGTTAAGTTACCACTTCCTCCATTCATCCTGAGATGAATGGAAACTAGGGACTATTTTTTATGTCAAGTAAGAACGTTTGTGGTGAAAATGAAGGCATCTTTGCTGATGACAGACTGAGGCCAGGGGCTGTATTTGTCTTGCCCACAGCCCGTATCACATAGTGGGGATTTGATAAAATATTTTCTAAGTAAATGAAACAGTGAAAATGAAGAAAAGAATGCAGGGTGAGAAATGATGGGGGTACATAATAGCAATGTAATTTAACAGAAAAAAGGCCAGAGATTAATATGCTCTCTAGGCCTTGACTCCCAATAGGAAGGTTTGGAATTTGTACTGGTTGCCTTTCTCCATGGGACCCCTCTAAGATTGGTACAAGCATACCAGTCCGAAGTACATAGTTTGAAAAACTGACTTTCTAGAGACAAACTCTGGAACCCAGGAGAGAAAAAGACAGAACAAAAGAACTAAGAAGAAAATGTGACATTCTCTCTCTTTCTATTTAAGGAAAATGTTGGTGAATAAAATGTTGGAAGCATGAAGCCTTCCAATTACACTTCTCTTCTTAAGGTTATTGACTGGCTCAAGTAAGAGTGTCTACTTTCCTTAAGCAAGAGTATATTTTCATTTCCAGAAGTGGGTTTTCATTTCATTTAAGGGAGCCTGGCCCTCCAAACACCTTCATGTGCCTATTAGCATTTGTCAAGATCCTATATACCTAAACAATAATTTGCCTTGAGAATAAGAATATCAAGGATATAACTTATGAGTTTTTAAGTATTTTTCTCTGCTGTAGGTTAGCTGAATGAGATGATATATACTTTCCAATGATTTCTGTTGGAAGCTAAAGACAAAAATAAAACCCAGTACTCAGTACTCCATCTAGAGGGTTCAAATCAAAGATGGGTGGGAGGCCAACAAAGCATACCAGGGAAGTCACAACCAAGGACTGGGACATTACTAGCTGAAATTTGCATCTTGAGATTGTTCTTCCAGGCAGCTGGATACATTGCACTTGAAAAGGGAGAGAAAAATGGCTTACTTGTTCTTCTTGTGACATCTCTACATTTCTTGCTTTCAAGTTCAAGATGAGGTCTTCCTTTTACAGCCTAACTTCAAAGATTTAGAACTGGAAGGAACCTTTAGGTTACCTAGTCCAAAATTTGTATATATGCCAACTGAGTCACATCTGACCAACAGATGTGGTTTGGATCATACCATGTTTTTATTTAACTATCTGCCAACACAAAAAAATTGTGATATAATCATGTCTTGGGGGGGGTCTCTCCTTAGAAGTTGGGGGATCTGGCAATATTGGGTCTGAATTTCAACAGGAAAACAATGGGCTGGAGCTGTCCCCTCAAGGCAAATTGTGTGGACTGGAAATCACAGAGTATTCACTACTCTCCTCACTTCTACAACATTTTGGCCTCATTGTCATTTATCATCACATATGCAAGTTATTGATTTTCTCATACCTAACCTATGTCATTCATTTATGATAACTGTCTGGCCCCAATAAGCACTTGAGCTTGAGACCCATGATTTAATCCAAACCATTTATTTGACAGGTGAAGGAACCGAGGCCCAAGGCATCTTCAGACATTTCAACAAGGCCATGCAACTAGTCAATGACAGAGAAAGGCTAGATTCCAAGTCTTCTTAATTGCAGGCCACCATCTCTGTTGCTATCCCATATGTTCCCTAATAAAACCTACTCTGTTTCTTGCTGTTTAAATATACATCATTAAAAAAATAAGAAGGGAGTTTCTTCCTCAATCCATTTCAGACTGTATTTAGTTCTTGAAGTATGAAATATCTTCCCATTGCAATTACAACACCAACACTCTGACCCATATTCCTTAGCTGCCTGCAGGTTCCTGCCTCATGTAATCAAGACAAACCTGGCCCATTCTTTCCTCCTGAGCTCATAAGTTTTGCAATATCTCCCTACCTTGAAGATCCCACAGTGTCCAGATGAGACTGCCGACACAGATGCCTGTCTCCCTTGGATAAGGCTCATTCTTGTCCTATCAAGACAATCTGAATGAAAGGGCTTGGTAATATTATATTTTGTTACAGCATCAGATGGAGAGATGAACTATCTTCCTTTGCCCCCTGCTAACCCTGTACCTTTACTGCTGAAAAATATATATGAATAAATAGGAGACTGATGAACTGACAGAGGAAAATGAATTACAATGGGTTGGTGTACCAGATGATCACAAAGGGCTTAAAATATTTTCTAGATGTTAAATAACTGGAAAATTTGAAAATGGCAGTGTTGCCGCCCCAGGCAGCTCAGGGTAAAGAAACTAAATGTGAGATGGGATGGAGCGGGGGAGGAACTTTCATCCAATGTATAGTGTGTAAAAGGTAAATCCAAATAACACACTCTGAAGTACACAGAGTAACCATGTCAGTCAGTCCCATACCAGTTTTCACAACCTGAATCCTGAGAGCCACATTGTCTAATGAAATCTTACAATGGTCCCATACATCGTTTCGGAACATGGGAACATGCCACATTATTCATCGTGGTAGTGTCAATTTAAGATAAGATTTGTGGGAGGCTGGTAAGAGGGAAGGGGAGCTACAATTAGATTGGAAGTACAGAGTCAGTCTTGTCATATTAGCTTCATCTTTATCTATACAAATCTGGGAAGAGGAGAGGGAGAAGAGATTAAAAAGTTGCTCACCTGATAACAGGTCCCAAGAGGATTAGATGCATAAACAATGATAGTGGCTTGTCTTTGGCCAGATCTCGGTGGACAAAAATGAGGGTCAACTGGACCATAATGGATGAAAACATAAAGAAGGAAAATGTGTACGCCATCCAATAGGTTTCACTATTCTTTCGATATATTCTAACCATATACAAAGCAGATGCAGCTTCCCCACAATACAAAAAGGTGGAGAAGAGGATCCCAAATGGAAAGGTAAACCGGGGGTTGGACCCGCGGATGACATCTTCCTCCAGAGACGAAGTCGGATCCACGTTTGTCTCCTCGGGGATTTCATAAACTTGGTCCATTGTCCAGCTTCTGGGAGTTGTAGTCTGGTCTTCAGAGCAGCCGCCCCTGTACCCCCACAATAATCCTGTCTCTACTGCAGAGCAAGTGTTGATGAGAGCTGTCAAGTCCAATCCCAGAAGTACTACTTAGGGCAGAAAGTCCCTCTTTTCCAGCGGTTAGTTGGAGTCTGGGATGGTAAACTCAGCAGCACCACTTTGAACTTGACTCTTGATTGGCCCAGGATTCCAGTCAATAAGGTAAGTGCTGTGCAACTTGGACTAGGCAATAGCAAGCCTCCCAGCGCCCAATCCGCAGTCCCATTCCAGGCACAGGAAAAGCCATGGGAACAGCTTTTTTCTTGGCCGGCTCCTTGGTCTGTAGCCCCCAGGCAGTGAAGTTGCCACTCAGTCGAGGCACGGACACCCAGCAGTTCTTGGCGGGCACTTCCGAGCAGTGTGTCCTCCTAACTCAGCCGAGAGCTGAGCCAAGGCAGAAGAGGGGGCGCAGCCTGAGCGTCCCTTCAGGGATTCACTTCCGTGCCTGGGAACCCCAGCTATCGCTGGGTTGTAGCTAGTGGCTCGCCCGCTCCCCTGCTGGCCAGGGCTCTTGCCCGACGGGCGCTGAGCCCTGGGTGGCTCTGGGTGGCTCCTCGGATTCCCCAAGCTCCGCCCCTAGGACAGCCGGGCAGGGGGCAGGAATGTGTCACCACCCTGTCCCCAGAGCTGGGCGCAGTCTCCGGGGAGGGAGAGTCAGAGCGCGCGCGCGCGCGCGCGCTACATGATAAGAAAAAGCTGGAGGGGTTTCTTTTCCTTGGAGAAACTTTGCTAGCCAGAGGCTTGATGTGCCGGGCGCCAGCCGGCTGGCCAGATGTTGCCAAACTCTTGGGCGCCTTCTGCGGCCCCAGTCCTGCCCGGCCCTCAGTTGTAGCGGTGAGAGGTCAGTAGCTCCTGGGACTGAGGCGCCAGGAGAGCGACGGCGCACGGAATGGGAGGGACAACTGCATCCAAAGGAGAAGCAGCCTGAGAGTGTCTGGGCAGGCAATGGAAGGGCGCCCCGCGTGCACAGGCGCGACTTGAGCCGATCTTCAGACCCACTGGTGGCCACGACGTCCACCGGAGCCCAGAGGAAGCCACAGCTTTCCTCTTCGCAACCAGCAGCGGACGCCCACCTCTACCTCATCCTCCCCGACTAGCTCGCTTCCAGCTCCCACACTCACTCAACCCACGCGGTAGGCAGGTGTGTTTCCCGTGGCCTCAGGTTTGAAGCTCGCTCGGTCCTATTGCCCTCCAGATAATAGCACGGGGTCACAGGGTGGGGGTCGGGGGACAGACCTGGGAGCCCACTTCTTAAGTGGGTCATATCTACCCTTTTCTTTTCAGGCGAGATTGTAGGCAGCAGAGGGAAGATTAAGAGGAGCGTAGGCAGGATTAGGGGGGGGAGTGGAGGGGGGTGTGAGCCGCTTGTCAAGACTCAAGGTCAGCCCACAGGGACTGGAAGTTCTTATTATGTGCCTTGATTTCTCCACTTGCAAAATGAGGCCAGGCTAGGAACTTTAGAATAAACTTTCAGGTCTTTGGCTGGAAGGTTCTGAAGAAGTGCCAAATTCTAAATAGACTGGTGAGGAGCCAAGAGAGCTGTTAGTAAAAACTGAGAGGGGTGTCTTAAGGAGCTTTGGAAATTGCCTGGATTCTTAAACTCAATCCTCCCCCACCTCACTGAGCTTTTGTTTTCATGTCTTCATTTGCATAATTCTAAACCCCAGAGAAAAAAAGAAAACATCTGCCTCCTGATAATAATATAAATGTAGCAGCCTGTGCTGATCTCCTTTTGCTGCAGGAAGTCAGTAAAAAGAATCCATGTGGGGCCCTCCCTGGTGGTGCAATAGGTTGAAGCACAACACTATGAGGCTATCACAGCCACTGCAGCTGGAGTTCGATCCCCAGCCCTGGAGGTGACCCACATGGCATGGCAGACCTCTCCTGGCCTGCCTGCTGCTCCCCTCACAGTCTATTTCAGTTGGTCTGCCTGTTCTGCTCCCCACTCTGTCTCTGGCAGATCCTCTCATCCCCTGCACCTCTGATCTGTACCTCAGTTCTGTATGTATAAATAAATAAATCTTTTTTAAAAATAGAATCCAACTGAGTGGCCAAGTAGCAACCACCAAAATAATGGCCTTGAGAACAACTCAATCTTGTGCTGTTTTTTAAGATTTCTGCAATTGTCACGTTTTCCTAGGACTGATTCAGTGACAGATCAGCATCTAAAGGTTGTTGCCTCTGAAGCAGAAGTCCCAGCTCTGTCTGCACCTGTGCTAGAAGCTGGGATAGCAAGCTGGCCTTACTCCCTTCTGTTTCACAAGGGAGGTCAACACTATTTCAGAACCCTGCTCACATCGTGTTGACTGGTTGGGCCTTTCCAACAGCGTGTGTTGTAGGACTGGGATAGACATGTTGGTCATCCTAACCTGAGAGAATGAAGGCTGTAGAACTTCAACATTTCTCTCTTCGCCTTTTCCTCCTTGCCTGTACTCCTATCACGCCCCAAACAGACAAATCTACAGTGCCTTTCTACTTTGTTCCAAAATGACTCCTTTGCAACAATAACACTACTGGCCTCTCCAGCTTCATCATCCAGATAACCCTATTGCATACTCTTTGCTCCCAGTCTGAAGGTTTCCTCACTTAATCGCGTTTGCCTTGCCTGCCTCCACCTTTGTGCCCCAGTGGGACCATGGAAGGTGCCCTTACTCTTTTCTCCATTAATCTAAACCCTAATCTTCCTTCAGGGGTCCACTCAAGTACACCTCCTCCAGGATGCCTTCTCTCACCTCCTCAACCCTCACTTTCCCTCTGACTTGATGCTACCGTCACCTGCTCTCCTGCACCAGCCCTTCAGCTACTTCTGTGCTTGCTTTGCTTCTCCTACAAGAGGGTAAAGTCTGCTCAATTAATGTTTATTGTGGCACTTGATGATGACAGTAGTGACTGAAAAATGATGCTGAAGATTCTTCACCCATACTTCATCCAATAAACTATGTAAGACTCGACACACTCATCTCTAAAAGCTGTTGCCACTCTAGCTGAGGCATAAAGTCCTTTGCAACACCCACTGCCTCCATTAGCCATTCAGATCACAGAGGACACCAGCCAATGTGACCTGTCTAGTCTCTGAATACATACAGCATTTTTTCTTTCTTCTTTCTTTCTTTCTTTCTTTCTTTCTTTCTCTTTCTTTCTTTCTTTCTTTCTTTCTTTCTTTCTTTCTTTCTTTCTTTCTTTCTTTCTTTCTTT